TTAGGTTGGTTCGGTTCGGTTCGGTTCGTCGTTCGTCGTACGTCGTACGTACGTACGTACGTCGTACGTCGTTAGTAGTGTAGTGTAGTAGTAGTAGTAGTAGTAGTAGTAGTAGTAGAGAGAGAGAGAGAGAGAGAGAGAGAGAGAGAGAGAGTAAAAATTACGAAACTTGGTCTCTCCTCTCTCTTGAAATTCTACTTTTATGAGAATGCCCGTAATAATAAATAAAAAGCTTCCCCAAAATGAATTTAAATGATGGAAAAATAGAAACAGATTATTTCTGGAATGCTGTAGCGGCGTTGGGACCAAGCAGTTTGGTCAGAACTGATTGAACTAGCCTGTTCAGGCATTGAACTGGATATTCCCATGATCACTAGATCAATGTGCTTGGCACCCCAGTCTGATGAGTGGGCCCACTGGCTCTGGTCTTACCAGTCAAACCGACTGGTCCAATATGCTCTTCATTTCATTGGTTTTTATACTGTAAGGAATCCTGTAGGTGAGCTTTATTCGTACTGTAAGGAACCCTATTAGTGAGACTTTCACCATGTCTTTATATTATTTGGTTTTCATTTCTTCTGTTATTAATTATTTGGCTTTCATTTCTTCTGTTCTTATATACTTTCCCCACCCTCCTCACTTACAGTGGGGATCTGTTTTGGTGCAGGGAATCCGGACAAGATTCTGCCTTCAAGTTTATTTTTATATTTGAGAAATAAGCTATTTCTTGTACACTTTCTTAGGTTTGGCTTTGTTCTCTCAATGTTGTCTTTCTGTGAAATTAGCAGTTATGTGTTTTTTTTTTTTTTTTGACAAGGTTATACATTGGAATGGAACTTGAGACGTTGGACTATGAAAAGCCTAGCCTCTATCGTCTTGACACAAGCCCGTGCTTCCTTATTAGTAGTTATTTATTTACTATGTGGATTTGTTTCATTCTTTTTCATTTGCCTTTTGTCATTATCTTTTGCTCGAAGTTATAGTCTTTTTCTCCCTTATTGCATACATTTTTATTTATACATGTCTATAATATTATTAGTAATAATGGAGAGGGAAACTTCAAGCACCTCATTTCACCATCTCGATAATCATTTTAGGGAGTGGGAGATATTATAAATTACAAACCCCTTCAAAATGAATCTTCTTCGAATTTGATCGGGTTTGGAGAAACTCAAAAGCCCTAAAAAACCTTTGATCGATTACATTGATATGGATGGGCTAGATCTGATTTTGAGTGACCATGGATTTGGAACTCTTCTTTTTTCAAAGAAAATTGTTATAAAAGATTGTTTTGAAAATTTTCTGTGTCCCCTCCACACCTCAAGAGTGGATTTTGCGGTGGGTAGGACACCAAAGGTGTTCATTCTCAAATAGAAATAGATGTCTAAAAGCTATGACGAGCTTTGTTTCTATTCTTCTGCCACCCTTCTTAATTGATGCATTCTATTTGCTACTCTTTGGAATTTGATGTGGTGTATTTTGATGAATACTAGTGTTTCCCAACTATATATATATATATATATGTTATGGGTGAAGTTGGCATACGGATGCATCTATAGCTGTAGAGGCAAGGTGCACCTTCAAATTTTATCATGGTATATAATTTTGATGTAAAATGTTTTTAGGATTATCTCAAAATCTATTTTTATATCTTATTATAAAATTTAAAATTTAAAAAATAGTTAAAATCAAGTAGATCTATAAACATATGAAAATCTTGAAAATGGACAGCGTAGATAATATGTTGTAAAATGCACTATTTCTGAGACTTATAATCTTTTTATTTTTCATGGTCATACATCTCGATGTCGAGATAATCAATCAAAGGGTTTTTCAACATTAAAACTACCTTTTTCGATGGATTTTTTAGGTGCATCCGTAGCTCTACATTATAAGGTTGCAACCTTATATAAACTTTGTCCATTCGTTAGTTGTCTGTATTGGGATTTATTTCTTCTCCCATTGGGCAGATTTTAGAACATCAGCATGACGGCTCCCCCTGCAGAGCTCCTAGCGGTCCCACAGGCGGCCCATCAGCCCCTTGCCACAGAGCCCCTCACCCATGCCAATGACGATGGGCTGACCTTCTGGCAGTTCATGGCTGCGGGCTCAGTGGCCGGCATGGTTGAGCACATGGCCATGTTTCCTGTTGACACTCTCAAGACACGCATGCAGATGCTTGGTTGCTCCCCTGCCTGTCCCGCCGCCTCCTCCACCCACAATGCCATCGGTCGTACCCTTGCCTCCATCCTCCGCTCTGAAGGGCCCCTTGGCCTCTATCGTGGTATTGGTGCCATGGGGATTGGAGCTGGGCCTGCCCACGCTGTCTACTTTTCAGTGTATGAGTTGAGCAAGGAGCGGCTCGGTGGCAACCGCCCTGGCCACCACCCCTTTGCCCATGCAGCCTCTGGTGTGCTTGCTACCATTGCCAGTGATGCTGTCCTCACCCCCATGGATGTTGTGAAGCAACGCCTACAACTGCAGAGCACCCCCTACTTGGGGGTCAGGGACTGCATGATTCAAATGCTCAGGAAAGAGGGCTTGCGTGCATTCTATACTTCATATCCAACAACTGTGGTCATGAATGCGCCTTTCACAGCAGTACACTTTGCAACATATGAGGCAGTCAAGAGGGTGCTTGGGGGGATATCTCCAGAGAATGTCAGCGAGGAGAGGTTGCTTGTGCACATCACAGCGGGGGGTGCTGCAGGTGCACTGGCCGGTGCTGTCACCACACCACTCGACGTTGTGAAGACCCGCTTGCAGTGTCAGGTATGTTGTTGCCGCACATATGACTCTTTGGCCTTTTTCTCTATTTCCTTTTGTTTGTTATGGTTATCTACTTGTTTTGGCTGCAAAAGTTAAGTTATAGTATTTCTTGTATGGTCATTAGCTACTCCTTTAAGCGTACCCTACAATAGCTATATTTTTTAATGATCCTAGTGAACTAGTAAAATTATTTAAAGGAAAATATTACATACTATGAAGACATGATGGGCAAGTTTGGTCAATGTGAGAAATGGTTGGAGCAAGTTTCCTACAAGAGATGATATACAAGAGCTATGCAGTAACTATCGTAAAGACATGGTGATTTGCGATCGTAATTAATCAAGGACTCATGATGTATGGGGTGTTACTGTTTTTTTGGCCCTTACTAAATGAGGACCAACCCATAGAATGGGGTTTATATGTATGCCAGCCATGTTCCTACCATAGTTTACCCTAAATTTTTCTGTTTTAGTTTTCTGAATGATTGTGCTTTGTTTTTACCAAAGTTGCAGAGTCAGTCTCAATTGGCAGTCTAGACAAGATCAAATCATCTATTGGAGCACATGTTTGATATTTCTATGCTGGTTGTGAGGGCATAGCCGTAAAGAACAGCATCTAACCGTGCATCTCTTGAAACACATACTGCGATTCCCAATTGAGTTTCTTAAAACATAATATCTAGGAAGCTCTAATCCCGTTATTTATAATCTCGGGGGGCATCCAACCCGAAATTGATGTTTATTAAGTTCTCTACCTGATTTTCACTAGTCTACTAAGAACCATTGCCTTGTGTTCTTGTGACACAAGTTTTTGTAGTCGATGTTGGAAAGTTTGGCCTTGTTCCGACTGGAGCGAGTCAGCTTGATGACTCCCTTCTTCTCTTTCCCTCTCATAAGTTAAGAGAGGGAGAGAGACTGAAAAGGCGAGTAAAAAGAACATGATTATTTCATATTTGACTCAAAATAAGACTTAAGAAAACTGATACACACACACATGGGAGAGTCTCCAAAGATGCTATTTACCTTTGTACCTTTTGTACAAGGAGGTCATAATCATTATTATTCTTTAGATTTCAAACTGGGTGTTTGTAGGAGTGTCATTGATTAGACACAAAGGTCCAAAAAGAAATTCTCGGACTTTGTGACTCACCCCAAGTCATCTAATTTGACATCTAATGAGTGGGAATAGTTGTGACGTACCAAAAGTAAATGGTCTCTTTATATGTAAAATTTACGAAGAGTTAACAACCCCTCAAAATACAAAGGCGCAAGTTAGAAGGGGTTGTGATGGGTGTATTTATCAAAACAATCATTACTTTTTATTAAAAGATTATTTAAATAGTTAATTTTACCATTAAGTAAGGGAAAATTTGAAATTTTCACAAAAGTACAATGACTTTTTGGAATTAGTATCTGGGAACTTTATTTGTAGAGTGTCATTGTTCTTTAGTTAAAATTTCAATTTTACCTCTTATGGAGATGACAAAAATACAATTTGTCTTGTAGTAATATTTACAAATTTGCCCCACAAAAGTAACTTTTTTTAAAAAATAGACGATAAATTAATAAATCCACCTTTCACAACACTCTCTATCTTAAACCTTTGAAATTTGAAGGGTTGTGAAGTTTAGAATATCATGTGTGTGTGTGTGACTTCTTTTGACCCCTTTTTTACCCCTTTTTTGTGCTAATGTAATTTTTTTTTTTTAATTTTTTTTTTCTTCCTGGCACAGTTCAGCTGTAGGAATAAAACTTGTGAAGTAGTATTGCTAATGTCAACAAGCGGTTTGTTGCAGGGTGTGTGTGGTGCTGATACTTTCACTAGTGGCTCAATTCGTAATGCTATTCAGCAGATAGTGACAAAAGAGGGGCCCCAGGCTTTATTGAGAGGGCTTAAGCCTAGATTGCTGTTCCATGCACCAGCAGCTGCAATCTGCTGGTCCACGTATGAAGGTTGCAAGAGCTTCCTTCAACATGCGCCCTGAGATTAAAGAATCCCTTCCCATTGTGATTTATTTTACAACTTTGAGGCCCATTCGCTATAGCTGTTGAGAGCTGTTTTCCCCTTCATTTTGGCATCTGGAATTGTGTAATTTATGGTATCTGCACTCCACCATTGTTTCTCCTGGTTCATCGATTGTCTGCTGGCCAGTGTCTAATAATATTGTACTGTCGCGGCGTAAGGGGAACTGAGAAATTAGGGAAGAGGTTGTTATGTCACAGCAGTTTTTTTTAAAGTTTAAATTTTTACACTCACAATGGATTTGAGAAAAAGTACTACCTTATATTTTCAAAATAGCTCCTTTGCTGGAACGTGCAGAAGCCACGGTTGATTCAGAAAATGGGTAGTGGAGATTAGCCATTGTACAGGCATGTCGACGTGGGAGTACATCTCCACTTCCCCATTTCTAAATAGATGTGGTTGTGCTGTTCGTATACGTACCAGCACACACAGTAGTGTAAAAGTAGGAGACTTTGGTATTTCGGAACAGTTTTCTCGGTTTCTCAATGGTAGTTTCGTATGGGTAGCTTATTGTTATCCTCTTGATGATCATGAATGTTATCGATGTAAAACCAGTTAAGTTGGTCGATGATCTAAAGACCATAACCGACCATTGAGGTCTGTTCATGTGCTTACTAGTGCCACACTTGCCAGTGATTCCCTATAGTCAGAAGGATTGTACTTTGCTTTCTTCAAATAACAGCTGAGGTGCTTTCCCCTTCTTTTTAGTTTTGAAAATATCGAGTTTTGTGAGTTTGGACTGTGGCTGAAACAAAAGCTAGTGGGAATAGCAATGTATACATTTGAAACAAGTTCAAAATTATTCTTAACCATCTATGCCGACAGATGGGGTGTCGAAAAAGTTCGAGAAAATATTTTTGGGACCCTGGGTCGGTCAAAAACAACCTAGCTATTGGATTTCACATCTACTGCCTAAAATTGAAATGACGTACTTGTGCCAAAGGTAAATATTCTAACTGTAAATGGTCTTATGTTATATCAAAAATAAGCGAAGTGAATAAATCCCATAAAAATATCTTAAAACTATTAGAATATTTATAATTTTTAGAAATTATTTGTAAGCAGAAATAAGCTTTGATACCAATGAAAGAACCAATGAAAGAGACCATGTAGGTATCCAGCCTTGTGCTAATTCTAAAAACTTTTCACTGCAAAACCTGGTTAACCTAGTTATAATGCCTTACATAAAATAATATTTAGCGGCATGCAACAGAGTTGGCACAATCCCAAGTACAATTTGAGCACAATTACAATTCTTGAACCAACAACACTCTCGTGAGTCAATTTTTGCAAAAGGAAAAAATACATCATCATCAATGACCATTTGAAAGTTATTAATAAAATTGATCAACAAATTTGTTCTGGTTTTCATGCTGCTATTAAATCAGCAGCAAATAGATCAAAATTAAACAGTTGTTTGATTATGATTTTCTCTAAAGTGGATTAGTAAACTCTTGAATGATTAAGCAATCCAAGAAAAATTTCGGTGCAAAACTTAAATCTCAATCACCTGATCTATAGGATTGAAATTGAGATTTTGTTGGTGTTTCTTTTTGTTGCAAAAACAGTAGAAAATTATCCAATAACAATGAGATCTGAAGATATAATTTGATCTAATTTGTTCGAAAAGATTCTCCATACCTAGATGAATGATTTAGCAACAATTCTCATGTAAGATCATCAAGAAGACTTGATCTAATCGACAGATCGTTCTGGTTTACATGCTGATTAAAAATTAGCAGTGTTCTTATCAAAATAAGCAGTTTTTAATCAAATCTCATCAATATCACAATCTAGCAGTTTTTTGTCAAAACGTTATTGCCAGCACACTCATGAATGATCAAGGAAATGACCTAGGTACAATCTCAGCTCAAAACGTGAGTTAAATCATATGATCTAATGCCTTTTTAAGGAAATTTTACTGCTGTAAAGACATGCTGTAGAAACAACAACAAATTTTTCAAGATCAGCATGAATTTATTCATGTAATTCATTTTAAATGATTTAAAAAAACACAGATTATATAGCTGATTTTTCTGCTGAAAGTAAAACAGCAGAAATAATGAAGAACTCTAGCAAAGAAATCATCCCCAATTTTTCAAATCCATGAAGATGTCGTTTCTATTTCAGATATTGCAACAAATCCTAACTTGAATTACAAAGATCATGATCAAAACTGCTTTTATTTGAGATTCACCGGTGATCGAAAGCATCATATGAGTGAGTCTGAATCATCATGATGCCAAATGAGTATCAAGTAAGTTTAACTATATGGTCTCCAGTATATGACCTTGAATTATTCTAACTATGAAAAATTCATGCTTAGTTCATGTCGTCGGGGGGTCATAATCATATCCATTGGCCGGCATTGGTTCTAAACATTTAAAAATTATAAATTATAAATGTGTGAAAAAAACTAGTTGCTCACAACTAATATGGTTTCATTACCTTTAACGAGATTTAAGAGGGACTAGCATAAATTCGAAACAAGGCAAAAAAGAAAAAGAATAAATATTTTTTTTATAATAAATATTTGAAAAAATTACAAAAAAAACCCCTAGATATACTATCCCTGCAAGTTACCTTTTCTCTAATATTTTTTTCCACAACCACTTTTCATCGCAAATACCCCTTAATAAAAAAAAAAAAACAAGAAAAATGCCTAAACTACCATCTCTCTCTCTTGCCTTTAACCCAAGGCATTTTACCCATCCATTTTTTTACCACGCACGCCTCTTTTTCTCTCTACGCTAACTTCCCCGAGCTCCCTCCCTCACTGTATCCCCGCCCTCCTTACCACGCGCTTCTCTCTCTCTGCGCTGATTTTCCCTGAGCTCCCTCCCTCTTTGTCCCCCACGAGCTCCCACCCTCGCTATCTGCCCAAACCAAGGAAGCCCGAGCTCAATTTTTGAACCGAGGTCGCTCCCTCTCTCTATGAAAGATAGCAGGGCTCGAGCTCGAACTCGAACCGAGGAAGCCCGAGCTCAATTTTGAGCTTATCTTTCAGCCCAAATCAGCCCCATCAAAGGTATGTATGGTCTATTTATTTTTTTGTAAAAAAATGTAGTATGTTGATTGTTCGTGGAATTGTATTAGGGCTTACTGTGACTGACAATGAAGGGATTAAGTGTATTTGGTGGGTGTAAATTGTCATTTTAGGGCTTAAATGTACTTGGTGGTTGTAAATTTGGAGTTTGTTTTGCTGTATTGTTTTCTTTGCATCGATTGTTTCTTATTTGATGAACCATTGCCTTGATGATCCATTATCTCTTGTTTATTTAATGAGCCATTGTTTTTCTCTTACTTGATGAGCCATTGTATTTCTCTTGGGGTAAAGTAGTCTCCAAGTTTTTTGTTGGCAATGTGGCAACTCGTATTCGAACTTATGTGCATTATTGGAAATAAAATTTGCGAATCTTACCCATTTCGTGCATCTTTTTTTTATATGAATTTATGGGATTATTTGCTTCCCATGCCTCTATGGATTGATCACTTCAGGCATTCACTGATTTTACTCTTGTCAAATCTTCCATTATTTTCTTCCCATGCCTCTATGTTTATATCCATAAAGTCATTAGTTTTGTATTCAGATAATCATTAGGTTTGTTTAACTTTGGCATGTAAATTATTACAAATCTTGTGCAGGACAAAAAAAAAAAGAGTGATAGCAGATTGATTTATTGTATTTTTAGTGGAAAAGTCCAATCAAATGTCGATGGGACTTTGGATTATATTGGTGGTGATGCATGTACATTTATCATTGAAAGTAGAACTAGGTTAGATGACATGTGAAAATACATAGCAGAGCGTTTCTCGCTAGATATATAGTCGGTATCATTGAGGTATTTTGTCTCGAGAAATAGAAGATTTTTTGTGAATATATTCATTGACGATGATATTGAGAGGATGTTGTATGCACATGAAAGAGAGAATAATCTCTTTCTATATGTATTTGGTGGGAGTGAACAAAGGGGTGGAAGTACTTCACGTAATAATAGGGCAGTCGAAGAGGTCAGATCCCCTCTTAGATCTAATTTGTTGCTCTATAGTTCTGAACAAAGCAATGCATCAAGGTTGCTTAGTTCATGGGAGGATGCACTTACCGATATAGGGCAACAATTTGAGTCTCTAGATGACTTCCGAGAAGCCCTTAGCATGTTTGCTATAGCCCACCATTTTACATACCATCTTGTTCAAAATGAGGGGTACCACATAAGGTCAAAATTCAAGGATGATAGACGCAAATGGGAAATATATGCTTTGAAATTAGGCAAGACGAATATTTTTAGCATTGAAACATGAAAAAGAGAACATTCATGTAATATTGGGACAAACAATGATGTATAGAGAAAAACGTCATAAAAATTTATTGCATCTTTAATCAAGGATAAATTAAGTGACATTGCGCATTACAAAGCTAAAGAAATTATGAATGATTTGTATCGAGATTATGGGTTACAAATACCCTATTGTAGAGCTTGGCAAGGGAAAGAAACAGCCATCAAAGACATACGTGATTCACAAGATGAGGCATACAACCAGTTACCTGTATATGGACGAATCCTGATAGTTATGCGACGGGACAAGTATGACTAGATGGCAGATTTTGTCGAATGTTTATAAGCTTTTATGGCTCAATACATGGTTTCAAAAGTGAATGTCTTCCACTTATTTTCTCGATGGGACATCACTGAAGGCACGATACCTTGGAACTTTACTTGCTGCCAACTCACTCGATGGGGAAGAATAAATGTTTCCTGTTGCATTCGCTATTGTGGATGCCGAAAGTACCGACAACTGGGTATGGTTTATAGAATCTCTAAAGATTGCTATTGGGACAGATCGTGAAATTACTTTTTGGTCTGATAGACACCCTGGCCTAGTCGATGCTGTTTGTCAAGTTTTTAGAATGCCCATCATGCCTTCTGTGAGCGTCATTTAGCATAGAATTTCAATAAGGAAGCAAAAGATATACCTAATGATATTAAGAAGGCAATTGTTAAATTTTTTGTAGGAGCATGTAGAGCATAACGGCCCCAAGAGTATTTTGAGAAGATGAATGAAATTAGGTCAATTTCTGAGGACGCATTCAAGTGGTTCATGAAAGTATCGCCAAACTGTTGGGCCACTTTACTCTTCAGGGATAAACGACAATGTGATTGAGTCATATAACAAGTGGATTCTAGAAGTAGGAGACATGCCAATTCTTCAGTGTGTTGACTTGATTAGAAGACAAATCATGAAACTAATGGCCACATGAAGCTTGGAAGCTGAAACATGGAGTACAACACTTACCCCGCATGCGCAAAACGAGTTCAAAAAGATCATAAAGCAATCCATTTCGGTTAGCGCCACTGTATCAAGTGGAGCAGTGTTTGAAGCAAGGGGTGATCTCATGAATTATAAGGTAGATATAATTGCACGAGAATGTGAATGCCAAGGTTGGCAAATAACGGGCTTACCTTGCAAACATGCTTGTAAATGCCTTCAATGGATGAATAGGGATCCTGTTGACTATCGTAAAGACTATTTCACGGTTGAAAAGTTTCTTAAAACATATTCCTCTCCTATCGTGCAAGTTACCTTGATCGATCTATCTGGGTGTATGCATGGACAACTTCCTCTAGATGGAATAAAAGTACTTCCACCTCACTCAAGACGGCCCCCTGGCTGACCTAAAAAGAAGCGCATTGAGTCACAGGAAGTACCAGTGCGACCTATTCACTGTAGTTGGTGCAAAGGAACTGTTCACATAAGGGCAACTTGTAAAACACCCACTTGAAGGCATTGTTTTTTAGTTATCTTTTTTGTTCTGTCTTTTTAAATTGTAGCACCCACTTGTGGGAAATTTTGTCAGTACAAATATTTTTGCCAGTACATATATGGATATGCTACTTTTCTCTCTCTTTTTATTGGATTTGCTATTGATTTGTGTTTTCTCTTTTCTCATGAGTATGACTCATCTCTTTCTCAAGTGTTTCCCATTGCCAAATTGCATTCTGACTACATATGTATGCTATCTAATATTGGATATGCACTATATTTGAAGCTCATGATTGGATATCTAGTGGAAACACATGGTTGAATTGCTAATAGACTTTCACTCTCCAATAGTTATGGATGGCTGAATCTTTAAAAAATGTCAATGCATTGATAATGTGAAGTTCTTAAAGAAACACTTAGCTCCAATTTCTTTTCTTTTTTAAAGTTTTCTATATCCAAATCTGTCTCATTGCTTTTTACTAATTTCTTCTTCTTACTTATACTAAGCAGGAGGACTCGGCATATCAATATTTAAAATATTGAGGTTTGCTCACCATATAATTCTTAATGGTGTGACAATCCACCATATTTTAGTGGAAATTAAACTTTTGAATATGCACATATATTGGATATGTACATATATTTGAGATTCATTTATTACATATGCAACTGTTCTATCTCTTTTTTGGATATGCTACTTATGGTTTTTTTTTTATGTCAATTATGAAAATAGAATTAGCAATGCAAGACCCAGGCCCAGGGGAGCCATCCTCTTCATCAGCTCAAAGGCAAGAGGTATGATGGTCTATTTATTTTAGTTAATAATTTACATTGATTAGGTATTTCTCCTGTTATTGACTATTGCAATTTCTTGTTATTATTCATTTTAAGAGAGAAATGTACTTCGTATTGATGAATCAACTCAAACCCTAGTAAAATGGAAGATCGATCAACGACATATACCTCTAATTCAAACGACAAGGTTGAGCCCATTGATGGATATTGGGGTATCACATATCGATTATAATCTAGTGAGGGCATTTATAGGGAAATGGTGCAAGGATATGAATTCAGCATTTCTAAGCATTGGTGAAATGACTCCAACCCTATACGATGTGTGACAGATATTAAGGATACTCGTGATAGGTGAGCCTGTAACCGACATCAAGCCTGAAGACTATGTTGCGTTTGTTAAGGAGTATCTGGGAGATTGCCCCAAAGACGTCACCCTGATGCATCTCAAACATACATGGTTGAGGAGTCGATTCATCCAACTACCAAAAAAACCAACCAAATTATAACTCACGCAACACACACGAGCATATCTCTTTTATTTAGTCGGCACAACTATATTTGCCGACTCATCTAAAGGATCGACGCCATCAATATCCTTATAATTATTTCGAGATTTTGATGAGGCATGGAAGTTTGCATGGGGTACTGCGGTGCTTGTTTTTTTGTATCGTTCGTTGTCTAAGGATGCCGGTGAGGAAAATAATCATTTTAGTGGGCCAGCGACTTTACTACAGGTATTTCTCACTCTCTTTATTGTTTAATTTTAGAGTATTACAATTTCTCACTATCTTTGGTTTCTTACTTTTTACTTCTTCTACAATGTTGGATCTATGAGCATTTTCGAGCTCTAGCCATCAAGCCTGCATTGGTCATAAGCCTAAGAATGCCTAAGGCTTGCATGTGGAAGAAACAAGCACGCCACAAAAACATCTCATTTGATAGCATCTCGTTTGATATGGTTAGTTATTGGCTTATGTGCTTATAATCTAATAGATAATCAATCTGTGGTTAGTTATTTCATAATGTTTCATGCTTATTTTTATAGGTGACTTGGCAACCATATGAGGAGTCGCATGAAATTATAGAGTACTACATCTGTCGATCATACTTCATCAGTTTCAATATTGCAAATTACTATTTGCCAGATCGCGTGATGTGACAATTTAGAAAGTTGGAAGGTATTCCTGTTAAGCCACCCAAGTGGGATAGGAGAGATAAGGTCGGTTTGCACCTCACAAATTGGACTGTAGAATTGGGTAGGCAGATAAAAGATTAGAAAGCACGAGAACATCATGTTGTTAAGACAGCCATAGATAAATCTGGTGGAGTAGCTATAATAGAGTACATGGCCCGGCGCAACATGTTTATGCAAGGAAAAAAACCCCATTTCGCCCCTCGTCGTAGTCGCAACTGATGGAGAATATATTGGTCATCGGTTTCACATGTCACGAAATGTCCATCTCTTCGGCACTTAGATTATCCTGTTTTACACCGTGAAGAAAATCTCTTCTTCATCCTATTATTTCAAATATCACAATTTCGATTTTCCCACTGATCTTTAGCGTTTCTATACTACCAGCAAGTCTTTCTATATAACCATTCATTTCGAAGAAACCAAGATGCTTTTATAGGTATTGTGTTTCTTTTTCTTTCTGCTATTCCCAAATCGAATACTCTTCACATAGAGTGTCATATCTTGCCAACTCTGTATTACCTCTCTCTAAAGTTTTATTATAATAAATCATATTTATAGCATACTATAAAACCTTTTTAAATGAGCCCTTAAAAAAAAAAGTCTCCATAATTAGGAATCCAAAGATATGGCTTAACATATCACATCTTTTTAATTTTCTGCAGAAGAGAACTTGAGCATCCTATGATAAAAATATGATATCTCTCAACTCATAAAGAGTTAATCTTCGAATCCTTTTGAGTATTGAAATAGACTCAAAAAGTATAAAATAGAGCTCAGTTCCATCTTTAAATCATACCATTTAGTGAGTATTCATTTTAGTGACATTTACGTCACAATGCAATTTTTTTCAGTTGAAAATCAGGTTGAGCACCTCTCAATAAAAAATTTGTTTATCTCAATCATCAAAAAATTTCTTCCTGAAATCTTTTGTGTTGAAAACTAGACTCAAAACCAAATCATAATCTCATAATGTGAATCCCAAATAATACTTTTTTTCAGAGAAATAAATAAATGACATTCACGTTATAAAATAAATCATACTGCAGAATTTCAGGATGAACACTATTTAGTAAAATTGTCTTTTCTCTCTACCATCATAGAATTTCCATTTCAAACCAGTTTTGTTTGAAAGTAGACACATAATAGTAACACATATATTTCCACAAGCCTTATAGCACTTTGTTAAGTAGGCATGATAAATATAGTTATTCATGTTTTCAATGAAGGACATACCAAATTACAAAAAATTCAGGATGACCTCTCTTCAATCCAAAATTTTTATTCCTCTCTTCCCGTAGATATTTCTCTGTCAAATAAATTTTATTAGAAACTAGACTCACAATGAAAGTTTAAAAACTTAGTGTGAGCCATAAAACATTCTATTAAGAATATAAATAAAATCTTGACTTCCAAGTCATGGAAATAATTTTCATTGTAGAAAATAATACTTGCGCACCCTTTAATAAATCGATCATATCTTTTAAACCACAAGGAATTTCTTGATGAAAATTTTTTTGTTTGAAAGTAGACTCAATTTTATGAGTCACAATAAAATTTAAGTAAGAAAGAAATTTATATCATTAGTGGGAAAAATCACGGAACTCAGTAGATAGTTCTTAAATTTTACAGGGTCAGAGCTGATACCCTTCATTGATGAGTCCATAACTTTCAATTCCATTAGGATCTCCCATTGAAATTTTGTAGGTAGATCTTACTCTTAAAGACACATAATATTACTGAGTATGCAATAGAAAAATATGTTATCTTCTTCATATTACTGCTCCAAAATAGCTCAGAATGCCCCTTATGCAGAGTGCCTTTTCGGTGTTTGAATATTTCAATAATTCTTAACTGTGTGTGTATTACTTTACTACAATGGCCATTAGCTTTCATATATCTCATTTCCAAGCTTGATCTTGACTCAGTAAAGAGAAAAAGATAACTAATGACATCAAGTATCAATAGCTCTGATACGAATGAAAGAAAGACTAATGCGATCTTGCTAGGGAATATATATATATATATATATATATATATTTTTTTTTTTTCTTTTTCTTTTCTTTTGGCAAAGATCACTTATAAGTAGTCTTATTACAATAACTCTTGCTTCAAAGAAATTAAACTAACAAATCTAAGATCTTAAAAACCTTGATGTCATTAAACCAATTTTCTTTAAACAAAGAAAATATTCATAATTCTTATGATTGGGAATATAAAGACAATATAATTAAATATGATAAGAAACAAAAAAAGAGTGTCGGATGTTACCTCAACCGGGTTTATTACACCTCACACCGAGTCACCACCATCCGATAACGGGGGATCAATGATCAACCTTTAATCTCAACCGGAAAAGCAAGTTTAGGCCAAGCCATACCAATAGAACATGAACCATTTGATCACAAACAAAACCAGGTGAATTCCCTTAGCAACTTAGTTTGAGAGAGATGTATTCTCTTTTTGCTAAATCCTAAGACTCTTAGCTATAAGTTCATAGTTGAGAGATAAGAGAGAAAAAAACTCCATAACCTAAACCTTTAAGTTCTTTAATAATGTGTGTGAGAGAGAAATCGAAGATGAGAGAGTGGGGCGTGCCCCCTTTGGCTTTCATGAGAGGGAAAAACTTTTCTTAAGAGAGAGAGAAATTCTAAGTGGGGTGTGCCCCTTTGTGGGACATGAGAAAGAAAGATGGAAATTAGGTACAAGAGATAAGGTGTAGATATTTTTGGATAGAGACAATCCCAATTTTATAGGCTTTGAATAAGATTAGGGTTTCTTAAGGTTTTCTTTGGCTTGCCTTTTCTTGTGAGATTGAATATGAACCATTGATCATGGGTGACTTTTGGGGTGAGAGATTTGAGTCATCCATTCTATAGATGGGCCATCAACATTATGGAAGGTGCATGAACCATTATCCCCCTTTTCTAAATTATTTTTCCATCAATAGAAATTAAATAAATTAAATTTAATCAAAATATTGTGCATATTATAAAATAGCACAAGTCTACTCAATCTTTCTACTCAAGAATATATCAAGTCAATATTTAGTAAATATCTTCCAACCATATGGCTACATGCTATATTGCCAAAACAATAGGAAAGAGAATAAGGGTGGGGCATGCCGCCCAAGAGAGGCACCTATGGGCCCCACCTTCTAGAAATATGGTGGGCTTATGTGCACAATGGGCCCCCATGATATTTTTATATATTTAAAATTAATAAAATGATTTTAGAATATTATTTGAATACTTAAACCATTGTAAAATCAATATCTTTACTTTTATAAATCTAAAAATTATAAATAAAAGATCAAAAGACTAATAAAAATTCAAATAATAATTCTAAAATAATTTCTATCATAAAACAAAAATAATTAAATTAACTTGATGGGAAATAAATCCATATGGTTTAGGAATTTAATCTGCAATCATGGGGTGCTCTACCTTCAGTTGTAGACTACAGACCACACTTGCTTTATCAAACCGACCCAATGTTTCTTATGACCCACAATCCAAGCAGAGGCTCATTAGTGGGTCATTAAAGTCTGACCGATTAGTCAAGGAGTCGCAATCCTAGTTTGTGGATTACAAGTCCTCTCCTAGAGACAAGTCAAGGTCACCAAGACTTTATACTACTATAGCTCAATGACGCATAGGGGTATCTCTCGCATATACGTACGCTTCACCCTAAAAGGTGGATTTCTAGCTTTCCGAAACGAGCTATCAATATGCATGCCGTGTGATGGTACATGGATGAGGTTTTGACCCCTATCTCTATGGGCCACCATCACACACAAGGGTTACACAGTCCCTCAGCTCACTTATCCGGGCATATTCTCTTGCCTCTTCAAGGGCTAACCTATAAACTCTTATTGGTTTGTTCTTCATGCCCAGGTAACATGGGTTTTTTCCAACTAATTGGCCTAGTTCATCAAGCACAGATCGGTATCAGCAAACCATCGTTTGCTTAATATGGTCCACAAGAGATTACACTCCCACTGAGTTCATGTTCCACTATGTCATTTCATTTTACAAGCACTCATAAAACTTTTAAAAGCCACATAAACCCTACAATTTTTAGCTGCATGATATCACATCCTATGGTCAAAGTGATCGTGATCTCCTTATACCAAAAATAAATGATCTTAATGCAAAGTTTTTTTATTTCTACCCCTATTATTATAAATACTTTTACCTATAATTATTGAAGGTATATAAAAATGGCTTACTTGGAAAATGAAAATCTTTTTTCGTCCCTTGATTCAATAGTAGGTGATTCGACTTAGACACGAAAGCGAATGCACCCTTGCCACGTTTCGCTCATCCCAATTTTTTAATTTTGAGGGCAATTCTAATTTGATTTGAAGATGCTATCAAAAGAGAATGATCATGAGTTGGAATAGTTGCAAATAGATAAATTATTAAAAAAAAAAGTTATATAAGGTTACAACCTTAAAATGTAGAATAAGGTGCACCTAAAAAATATATTATAAAAAGCTATTTTGAAGTTGGAAGACCTTCTAATTAATCATCTCGACAT